CAAAGAAAACAAGCTCTTGTCAAACCAGTAACTCCTCCACCAACCCTCCTCGGACTCTGCGGGTGCAGCACTTACTGGAACGCTGGGAGGTCGTGGGTGGGGAACGTTGCATTTGCATGAACAAGAGGATCAGGCCTCATCCCCAGGAGGAAAGGTGGTTCCCAGAGAGGGGACAGGTTCCTGGCTTAGTGGGGACTCCTCTGCTCACCTTCAAGCAGCAACAGCCTTGTCCTAGCTGGAGCCCAGCCCGAGAGGGGGGCCAAGGCTGACCAGGGCCAGCTGCGTTTTGCTTCTGTGTCCAGAATTTTCAACTGCAATTTACAACCTGATCAAAACTGCCTACGTCACTCAATTAAAAGGTGGTTGCAAAATTAAATGATGGCAGTTGCCCAGAGAGCAGTGGGAGGGGTGACTGCAGCACAGGGTCCAGCAAGGGCTGGGGGATACAGTTAAGCTGACACAGTCATGGCCTCAAAAATTCAGCTTGGGGCTGATTGAAGTGATGACCAAATCCCACCTTTCAGGGCAGATGTGTCAGTGGAGCTCCAGACCCTCTTCACTGAGGCAAAGCAATCTGTTAAGTCCATCCTGTGCTTCACAAATGCTGATTAATGTGGCATTAGGCAATTACAGGACAACCTGCTCCTCGGCACGGCATCTGAGGTGGCTTCAAACAAAACATGCCTGGAAGCTGTTCAAGCTCGAGTCTGCCAACCTGTCCAAACCAATCTATTACCCAAAGATCATTTATTCCCCAGCATACCCAACAGAGGAGTCCGGGAGAACTTTGCCTGGGCTTCTGCCAGCATAGCTGGGTTGGTAGGAAGTCTGGATGGTGAAGGTCGCTTGCCAGGGAAACTGCTGGAGAATGCAGGATCTCCTGGAGCTGCAGCTCACCTGGAAGAGCCCTGTCCCATCTTGCAGGGAATTTGAGAGCAGTTTGCTTTCCTTCCGAGTCATAAAACAATAAAAAGGGGGAGAAAAAAATACTGGAAGGCATATATGTATACAGACTGTCGTGGATCCAGCTTTGCAGACACCAAGTTTCAATCAGTCAGGATAGAACAACACCATCCTTCTCACCACTATAAATGAGCTGGTTTGTGAATTTTGAAATCCTTGTTTTATTGAGTTGAAGAAAGGCATCTTTCTCCTAAAGAGCAGCTAAGAAGATTGGTAAAACTAGAAAAAAACAACCCCAAAACAGTCTGCTAAAAAACCCAAACAAAAATCAACCCCCCAACCCATCAGGACAAAGTCCAGGCAGTCTGTGTCTGTGTCATTCCAACTGATCACAGGAATAACCAGACAATATTTTAATTGCAACTAATGTCCTATCTTGAGCCAGCTGCTTATTCTACCGGGTCTGAGGTTTTCTGCTCATAAAGCACTAATGGCATGTGCCTTTTCCTAGAAAGGAAGGCTCTGCCTAAGTCTTACTGTGTCAGATAAAGTCCCAAAATAGACTTTCCAACCAAATAAAGTGTTTTATTCAGATATTCATTTGGATATAGCAGTGATGTTAAGAACAACTATTCAAGTAGCTGAAGTAAGCCCTTCAAAAGAAGTCACACAGCTTTAAGACTTGAACAAATTATTGTATGATCTCATCCAAGAGATCTAAATAGCTGGAACATCTGCCAGAGTCACCACCAATTTATTTAGCAGAGTTCATCAGCAGTTCATCAGCTCTGTTTGCACAAGCAGGTGCCAGGGCAGTCAATAAGGAGCCCTGTGCATGACTTAAAAAGAGGAGAGGGGGTGGAGAGTGGAACAGAGATGGGTGATTTACCCTCACACAGGGATGTGCATTAGCAGGAGTGAAGTCCCTGTCAAACCAGGGCAGCGACTGTTTCTAAAGGAGAAGTGCAGACATCCTTTTTCCCAGAGAAGTATTACATGCACAAGTAACTATATTGTTAAAATTTTTTATTTGTGACAGTAAAGAAACCATTCAATACCTGATTGACAACACTTCTCTCCTCTGAAAACACTCATATGGTATCTGTAGTGTTTCTCAAGTATCGCTGGATTGTTCATTGCATTAAAGTGTAAACAGCTCCATTATTAGAACAAAAAAAAAAGAAAGAAAAAAAAGGCAGAAACATTGCCATTGCTTACTCCTCTGTTAAGAAGTTCCCAATAGATCTTTAACAAGAAAGAAAAGAAGTCAGCTGGTTTTTTACAACATAATGTGAAACAGAAAACTGACAGCTGGTTTTTTTTGCATAGTTAGCCCAGAGATTTTTTTTTTTAAGCAATTGCCCCACGCAAGTCTCACCTGCCCTCCTCACCCCACAAAGGCAGAACATCACAGCACCTTGGAAATCAGAGGCACAAACTTGTTTCTGTTTTACAAATAGGGCTGTGCGGTACTCTGTTTTATTTGTTTAAAAAGAACCTGTAAAACATAAGATTATGTGTTTGTAAATTATAGAGCTACAGATTTTTTTGTTTGTTTTTTTTTTTTTACACTGAAATTTCAAAAGCTGCAACATCAGTACACACCAGTGTCATTTAGATACTTTATTGTCCCCAACCAGTCTAATCAAAATCATGCTGTGATAAAGTGATTGCATACACTGATAACCAAATCTCTTCAGGTCTTCAGTTTCTTCCACGTAGAACTTTGCTGCTTAAAAAAAAAAGATTAAAGGGCAAAACAAATAGGCAAATTATTCTTTCAAAGCTACCTAAATGAACACAGCAATATTGTACATTGGCTAAGATCTTCCATCCAAAACCTGCCACGCTTCCTGGTGGTTAGCAAGGGTTCTGTGCACAGCCCTAGTTTACAAATGGCAATTGAATCCTAACACTTCAGTTGAATTTCAAGAATCTAAGGCATTCTGCCTTACAGCTTAATTTAAAAATACCTATACAGGCAAAAAACCTTTTTTAACCCGACATAAAAAGGACAACAGAACTTCAGGCCAGGCAGAATTTCCTTAGCTGAACAGAATGACCAGCTGGTAAAGACTTTTTATCACTTCTATAATATCCAGAAATAGAATTGAAACCCAGGGTTTATAACAGCCCTGGTGACCTGTGTGCAGTGACTGCACTTCAAAATACGCAAGAGATTTAGGAAACAAGTATTTTTTCCTATTTCAGTTTTTAAAATCTTGTATATAAAATACAATCAAATACCCGTATTGCAATTTTTACAAACATTCCACTCAGTATCTGACTTTATGGACAGAAGTATATTGCTTTGTTAAAATCTAGAAACTCTTAACTATAAAGCGTTTGTATATCACGCAAACTCAACACTTGAGATTTCAAGTACAGTGAGAGTGTCAGAATAAACAACCACAACAGTTTGAACCCTTTGGCCAGATCTGAATACCCAGGAAAGTCCAAAGCTGACTGCAAAACACTCCCAAGTTTTACCTCAAAGGGAATGAGTTAAAAGACAAAATAATAAAAAAAATAAATTCATGAGAAGTTATAGAAAATACTCTTAAGATACTAGCAGAGATCAAAACTAAGTTTTTTACCTTTATACTGTCATCAAGTCTCATTTTAATGCTTGAAATAAGGGCTTTTTTGGAAATCTCTGGACTACAAGAGCTAAAATGAAGGCTACAGAACAAGCAAGGTTGTGCAGAACATCACCAGAACCGTTCTTCCCGAAGCCGGTGCAGAAGTTCCGTTGTCCGTTATATGTGGATTTGAAAACAATACAAGACACTTTAATAATAATCAACATTCATTCACAGACTTAAGGCAACTGGTTCATGAAATCGCTGCTTTCATAAATGCAAACTGAGGACACAGTTCCTCTCAGGGACAACAGGTCACAAGTGTCCAAGGGCAACGTCTCAGTGGGGTCCTTTATTGTCTGGGTGGAAGGTTGTTTGGTCTAACGCTAGCGAGAAAGTCTTTGAATTTTTTCAGCCACTCCTATCATACCTGCACAACTAACTACAACCTGAATACTTCCCTGCAAACTGCATCTGGAGCCAAGGGGCTACAGACACAGTTGAAAATACTGCTCGGAGAACAACTTTTTGGCAGCTTACAGTTTCATCACTCCCGAGTCAAACCCAAAATGGAACAATCTTAGACCGAAATAAACGTCGATGGACTAACCAGAATCCATACTATTTTTTTTTTTTCCCATTTTTTTTAAACAACTTAAGATGTGGGTTTTGTTGTTTTATTTTTTTTTTAAATTTCAGTTTTGTTGTGGCACAGAATTATACAGTACTAAGGTAATGCCAACTGGTGAGAAAACAGAACGGTGACGCCGTACAGACTCCCCGGCGCGGCGGGCCTGCCTCCAGCACGGCGAGCAGCTGGAGCACAGCTGCACTGCACGGGGGCAGGGGCCTCTCCCACTTCTCCTCACTGCCTGTGTAGGCTGTTCTGCCCTTCTATGAATCAATTTGCTAAGCTGCTTCACCAACGTTTTTAGACTAGGATGACAATCCAAGCCCATCGCAAAAAAATTTGTCGCCAGGTCGTCGAGACTTTTGGAGATCAAGAGAAGGGAAAGGGGATCTGCTCCTCAGGGTTTAGCACGAGGCTCATCAGAAGCACCAGCTACTCCATTTAGTCATCTCTGATGACAGCCAGACACGGCTGTTAGTTTGGATTTGTAGATTTCTGGTGCAGATAATAATTAAAAGGTGACACTGGAAAGAGGGAAAAAAATAAAGAGGTGTGCCTTGCTCTTCAAAGGCTTAAAACATTCAAAAGTTTTCTTTTGAAAGGGTACCAATGACATTACAGAAGATGCTAAGCAGGTTCTCAGGTTCAGAGGTGAGACTTACTCAACTCCAAAGCCAGAGGACCACTTTTAGTCTAGGCTAGTAACTTCTGCTCCTCTAGCAAGGCTGGATAAAGTTCCTAATCTGTACTTTACACCTCGGGGAAGAAGAAATATGAATCAGGGATGTGGGAAAAAAACTTGTTGCATGTTTACATACTGAAGAAAGGAGAGGGCTTCATCCCAATGGAAAAAGAAAAAAAACAAATTGAAAAAATATCCTTTACAGGTCACCTTGAGCAGAGTTCTCTGGTACATCAGGTACCTTGGATTGATACGTAGGGGTGGGTTATGAAGCCTGCATTTTGTTTATTGCCCAAGTCTGCAGCTTACAGAAAATTTTTCATAGCACAGGCACAGTGGCAAAAACAGTATAACAGCCGATGGTCAACTCCATTTGGTGAGTATACAGTAGCAGCAATTAAAAGAAAAAAGTACTCCAAACAGCTCAATACAGATCCAGCTTACCCAGATGGGTTTGTTTTTGTTTTTTTCAAGAAAAGAGTCTTAACTAATAAATAGATCTCCTCCCCACTCTCCCAAGATAATGGTCTTCTAAAAAAACAAGAGGCATGGCAGTTGTGCGTAAGCAGAGACAACAGAACTTCATCTGTCTAGAATAGAAGGTGCTTTAGATCTATTAGCCACCTTATTTTCTCAATTCCATCATTCCCTAATACTCAAACAACTGCAGATATGTTCAAAACTGTGCCCAAAATCCTATCAGTGAAACAACCATGTCATTAACCCAAATCACCCCTCCCACAAACGCTTAAACCTTCTGAGCATGACAAAATGGAACACAACTTAATGTCGTTGTGGAGACAGGAACCCAGCATCTTTGTTTCAACTTTTTCCTTTGTTATATATTACAGTGCTCTATAAAATTTTTCCTTTTTCCTTTTAAAGCATTTAGACAATACAAGACTAAAAGATGTCTGGAAATACGTCTTATACAAAAATGAATTTTTTATCTTAAAATAACATTCAAAAAGGCACTTCATTCTGTAAGAAAAAATTCAGAGTCAGGTCAACTGCTCTAAGCAGGGGGGTAAAATTGTCTGCATAGTGGGAGGGGAAGAAAGGGAGAGAAATTCAACTGCTGAAATACAAGCTTCTTTTTTTGGCATGTTTTAAGAAAAGCTGATCCAGTAAAAGATGTCCATTTATGAAATTCATTAAAAGAGTCCCATTTAAAATAGCTTCTTTTTTTTTTCTTTTTTTTTTTTTTCCTTTAGAAAAGTAGTCTGAACACATGACCTTAGGAGTCAGGCTTCTGAAGGCTTAATAGCATCACTCATGATTGTCCTTTGTGTCCAATGTAACAGGAAGATCAAGAGTAGCACTTCTGACAGAGGTGACCTCCCAAAAGCTTACATTTGAAAGAGCTGAAAAAGATGGAGACAGCCTCTAGCAACTGCAACCTAGTAGCAGAAGTCAGTCAAAGTTATGGGCTACCTGTTGCAGAGTTTATGAAGCATACTGTAAACTTCTTCCTCTTTGCTTAGTCCTTCAAAGAAAGGAATAAGATCTAGCAGCTCTGTGTCTGTCATGTCATCAAACCAGGACTGCACAGGCACCTGAAACAAAGCAACAAAGCAAATGGAAGACTTCATGATGTAAAAAAACCTGAGTTTTGTCTGTGTAGATTCCATTGGGGGAGGCTTAGGTTGGGTATTAGGAAAAATTTCTTTCCCAAAAGGGTTTCCAAGTGCTGGACCAGGCTGCCCAGGGAAGTTAGGGAGTCCCCATCCCTGGAGGGATGTCAAAGCCATGTAGATGTGGTGCTGAGGGACACGGGTTAGTGGTGGACTTGTTGGTGCTAGGTTAACAGTTGGACTTGATGATCTTCGAGGTCTTTTCCAACCTAAATGGTTCTGTGGTTGTACATGCCCTCTAATACTCACGCCACCAAAGCAAGGCAAACTTCTACTCATTAGCACTCAAGTGGAGCACCAGGCTCAAGTCCACATTTTCTAATATGCCACATCAACCCCAAACCCAACTGTAAACCAGCTGATGTGCAGCTGACCTCCTCCTACATGTCCAGGCAACCTGCACGCCCCAACACTGGACAGCTCAATTTGCTGTTGCCTCCTTGGTATTCAGAATAGAGTGGAAGGAAGATGCAGGTTATGAAGGTGCAATGGCACTTTATTTGTGGGCAAGTCTTTTTTTTTCCCCTGTAAGTATTACCAGGGTGAGTCACTGAACACAGGCATGCAGCAACAACCCCTTCTGGCATGAGGTTGTAGAGGAAATATTTAAACAGCAAGTACAGAACAGTTCTCTGATTAAAATACAAGACCTTGAGAGCGGGTTCAGAAACTAATGCAAACAATAACACTTCTTTAATATGTGGGCTGGATTTGGGGCAGGAATTCTGTCTATCTTCACTATGGAAGCATACTGAGGTCTTCTAAAGACTATCTTGGGTTTTGTTACAAGCTCTGGTTTCTGCAGAGACTCGAGTATCAGTTAGCTAGCAGCACTTTTCTATTACATGATTAAACCACTCTGACAAGGCCCTTAATTTCATCTCCCAAATTTCTACAGCTCATTATTTTCTTGGCACTGAATTCCAAGATACCAAACGACGATCTGGATCAGGTTTTTAATTTTAACCATGAACATAAATTAGAGCTTCAGCTCCTGGATATTATAAATAGCAACTTTCAACCATATGTGGCACCAACCAGAAAAACATTTTCGCCCCATCACTTAGGGCATCACAGTACTGACATCTGAATTCAAAAGCTGATTGCTGCAAGATGAATAGCTCAAGTTAAAAAAAAAAAAAAGCTATTCTGGAGGGGTGGGACCATGCAAAACAATGTGCCTGATAAAAAATTCCTGTATAAACAGTTCACAAAAAAGGCAGCCTAAAACCATCAAAGAACACATTGCACAGCCTGGTTGTTTGAAAGTCAGTAGATCTAAGGGGAGTTCCAGCTTGCTCTCCTGGCAGCTACAAAACAGATGTGAGCATCTGTAGCGATTGCAGCAATGGATGGAGCAAGGGCCAGACCATTGCATCACAGCTTCTGGAGTCCATACAAAACACACAGTGAAAATGTGCATTGCCTCTAATTACTCTCTCTTGAAGCACTGCTGCATGCCTTTTATTCTTATTCCTAAAACTTGATGAACTTGTTGACTAACATTTCTAACTCTGAAGTGAGCTATCACAAAAATACTTAAAGGAGAAGCATAACAACACAACAGGATCTTGATTTTTTTCCTTCCCCTTAGCCATGAATACAGAACTTGCATAGCAACCACTAAAGCATTAATTATCTTGTCTAATAAAATATTTTCATTCACACAGTGAAAAAACACAGAGTACCAAAAGCAGTTCAAGTAAACCAACCCTTCAGTAATCACCCCTCTGAAGAACAGCAACGATGCTGGAGGGCAGCTTTGCTTTTTCAGAGCTAGGTTAGTTATTCAGGTCCTACACTGCTTGGTGTTTCTCCAAACTGATGGACTTCATGCCAGAAGAGCCGAAAGCAGATGAGCTAACAGTCACGACTAGGACACACCATCAAGATCACTTTGCCCTAGTCCTTCACCATTTGGCAGTGAATACCAGAACCTACCTGCAGTATAAGCAAATAGAGAACCTAATGCAGTTAGTGTTCTGAAAGGCTATTTTCTGGATCAGAGAGTCTGAACAAGGCCCAGCAAGATAAAGCCATGCTTGAGTACTTCGAATACTAAGGATACTTACTGCATTTTCAGGATGGAAGATGTAAGATGCAGGAGAATTATCTACTATAATAACTTTACTCAGCTCACGTCCCAGTCGACTCAGATCCTTCACATAATTTCCTCGGTGGAAAACACAGGATTCTCTAAAGAGCCTTGCCCTGAACACACCCCAGCGATCCAGTAAGTCGGCTACTGGGTCTGCATACTTAAAAATAGAAGTTAGAAACATCAAGTTAGCCATCTGCAGATAAGGCTAATTCACAGAACTGTACAAAGAGGGGATACAAAATAATTTTAGATAAAATGCCCTTTCTTCATTTTCTTCCCTGCTCCTCGTTAATTAAGCTACATGCCTTCAAACCTGAAGTGATTAACAGAGAGATAACACAAAAGTAGGACTGTTACCTTTCTCTGGAAGGCTAAATTGCACTCTGATGTTTTCTGTCATTTATTGATTAGATTTTACTCTTAGGGCCAACCTCTCAGTAACTCCTAGGGTAACTGTAAGTTGATGGATCTCACCTAATGTTACCATAAAACCAGCCACTGCTAACAGAAAATCTACCCAAAGCCATTTCCACAGCTGATGCACTTCCACGTGCCTCTGAAGGTAAACTGCAATGAAAGCACCCAGGCTTGAAGTAGCAATGATGCCCTTGGAGCAACTGGGTCAAGTCAGACTCTTCAGATTACCAAATTGCATTATTGGGCCATAAAAGATCAGACAAAGATGTCATTAGGAAAAATAACCATGTACAATACTGGGAAATTCTCATTTGCTATCCAAAATGATACTTAAGTGAGGCACAGCTCAGAATCCAAAAACTGATATAAACTGTCCAAGGAAAAGTATCAAATAAACCAGAATGTGAAATAACTATGTACTTGAAAGTGGTCATTATAACTTGTTTTTTGCAGAATAGAAGTTACCAATTTTCCATTTTAAACGAGAAACAAAATTGATGTTGAAATCAATCACCTTTTGGCCATGAAAACTGCCCATCTAACTGCAGTATGAAATTGTTCCATTATTTAGGATTTTCACAATTTGACTGAACAGAACACTGTAAAAATAGTACAGGGAAGAATCTTCTGAAAAGAAGGACCTAGAGAAGATCAAACAGGGCGCTGTTGCCTTCCATCATCTCTACTCTAGGTTGGAGTAAATGCTTACTATGCTGGAATATTATTTAGAAATAATAAAAATTTTAAAAAAAGACACCACACATACAATACACTGAAAGAAACAAAGAATTTAATACGTCAACTACTGTAATGTCTACCACAAAACTACCTACAAGGTACTACTACTGCTACTGGAGACCAGAGGGCACAAAATATTCCCGTTGATGTTTCAAGCTTTACAAGATATCTCATTTTCTAACTCCAGATTGCAACTGCCCCTCGGCAGCACGAAAACATGTTCCCAATTTTCAGATGCACTGAATTTCTGAATCACTGGTTGATCATGTAGGTAGTGTTAAATACAGTGTATTTTATTTCATGCCCAGTTTTAATGTACTGCTTTACTCGCACGCTATTTGTTCTAATTTCTCACTATAACCATGGTAACTTGTAAGCCTTTCATATTGGCATTATGAGCAATGCATGGAGGCTACATTATGAGACAAGCCCATATGTGATGGTGTTACCATGGAAACACTTACCCACACACTAGCAGACAAAGTACACACTGTCAGACAAAGAAGCAGAAAAGAAGGGGAAAAATTAAGATAGTACCAACTGTGGAAATAATTATCCATAGAAAACCCAACCAAAAGTCTACTGACCAGCACCGTGAGGGCTAATGAGATGAAGAGAGGAACAAACCTTGGCTAGACTGGCTGTGAAGAGTACACATTCAAAGAGCTCTCCCATCCTCTGAAGAAACTCGTCCACGTGTGGTCGTTTCAATACATAAACCTGGAATGACAATGACTATTTTTGTCAAATGGTGTTTAAAGTAAAAGGAAAATGATAAAACAAACAAAACACCAAAACGATCCTGTAATCTTAAAAGTTAACATGGAAGCAGTTAAAATCAAATGTTGAAAGAAAAAAAAAAAACCAAGATAAAAGTAGACATCCAATGATGAGAAATTGGAATGCATGGGCTGCCAAAATCCATGCTTATTATGCAACTGCAAATCCTGTGCCTCATCTGGAGCGATGCTTCTGGAGACATCTCATTAAAGGCAAAGAGAGACAGTAGGGCTCCTCCAGAACCAAGGACTCAGCTCTCTCAACCAAAATGATTTTGGTGCTGGTGTCTTCAGTCCTGAAGAGATTTAGAGAAAGAATAAATCTCTGAAACCTCTATGATGACAGGAATTGCACAACAGGGAGCTGTTTTCTTCCTGTGGCTAGTTCCTTCATTTTTTGAATTCCAGGTGTTCAGCACCATATCTCACTATGGTTAGTTATCAGTCATCTGGCTCTGCAGAGAGCTTTCACCAGAAATCTTCATAGCCCCACACAGAATCTCTAGCACATGCTGCTTTCAAAATTCTGTGGCCAAGTCTAAAAAGTCTTCTCCTGTGACCTTGCCATAAGGATGGTAAACACTCAAGCTCTCTCTCCTCTGGAGCAGCTTGGTTTCAGCAACGCTACACTGCCTTTTAGCACTGACAACCACCCAGGCAAGCTTGGCTGCTTGCTGTCAACAGCCTGATTAATAGATCCTAGAGCCTCCTCGGCTCTCTTTTAGAGCAAGGAAGATGATTTGTGTTCACAGAAAATACCAAGATAAGATAACTGCTTCTAAGAAAGCCTACAAGTAGTTTACAATGCACTGGGAAGCTGAAGAGGGGAGTCTGCTTGAAAAATATTTTTCTATCTTGTTTGCACTTTAGATTAAAGTTTGAGAGAAAACACTGGCAGCATTTTATCTTCCATGTTTGGCAAATAATCCTTAATACTGGAAATTTCAAGATGAGAAGTCTGGCATGTAACTGAATGCAGGAAGAATTGCAAGACTGATGCAATTTCAGGAATTTCTCCCTTTGATATGCAGAACTAGATTAACTGTATGTATTTAAACAGATTCATATTAATAAAGAGGTAAAAAACATAAGGTACCCACAGAAAAGCCCTGAAGGAGAAAAATATGGAAATGCCAGCTTGAACTGAAGTGTAACAATTAAAGCCTTTAGCAAAAGAAGAGAAATAGTTGCCTAATAGGGACTTGAAATCGAAAACCTAGACCTGAAACCAAAGTTGTATTGAAAGCGTGTACAATAGAGCTGCACCATAATGACCAAAGAAGAAATATTAATTACTTTTCCACTTCAGCTCATAGCGTGAAGACAACATCTGCTTTAAGTTATTTCTACAAAGTTGAACTAAAGTATTTCTGGCCCCTCAAATTCAAGCAATACATTCAAACTTTGATACAGATAGCAATTTATAACCCAGAATTTTTTTTTTTTTAACAAACACAGCAGCATTTAATCAATCAATTAAATAGATGTGACAGTTTATAAATTAAAGACAGTTAACGTGTACTTCAACACTTCTCTTTTTCTAGATAACTACAGCAAAGTCTCCTGTATTTCACTAGGCATAAACCAAGCAATTTCCTCTCATATAACAATCCAATTAATTTTCCATTTAAACTTTACTACACAAAGTTGTTCTGTAGTGTTTTCTTTCCAAATTACTTCTTCCATTTTTAAAGCCACAGGTGGAAGGACAGTTGCAGAGCCTCTGTGTTTGGGTACCCAGAAAGATTACCCCACTTGCCAGTTGTAAAAGGAAAGGGCAGGATGCATGTTACTCCTTAAATCCTACAGTTTATAATGAAGTTCTTCATTCTTTAGCCTTAAATTATATGCCTACACTTATTTTTGAGGGCAAAAAAGAAAGGCTCCAAAGTCTTAAAGTTGTTTTTGGATAACTAGTGCTGGAATCTAGTACTGGTTTCCCTTTTAAAAAGCAGTGTTTTCAGCCATGGCAAAACAAGTCTCCTGTTCACTCTCCATCCCTATCTATGCCTGTGTCGGTGAACTATTTCCACTTGGAATGTAATTACAAACTCCAAGCCAAGGATATGAACTTTGCTGCTTGCAACATAACCCACCTCCTCCATACAGAGGGTGTAGAGTAAATCAGCTCGGTAGCTACAGACTGAGAGCTCCTTCACCAGAGGCTTGCAGACAGGAGGGGGCTTATAAAAGTATTTGCAGCACGTACTCTTCTGGCATCCTGCAGGTCTCCTACTACTGCACCTAGTCAGAGTGAGCTGTAAGCACTCACCATCTGAAGTGGCATTATCTCCTTTCTGCAGTTTAGATCTCCTGATCTACCACAGGGCCTCAACCTCCACCTCCTCTACCTTTCTCTTGCTGTTTTGCCTTAAGTCTCACCTATCTGGCTCTGGCCAAGAGATCTGCCTTTCAGGTTAAATGCCCTGTTACATAATGAACGTCATCTCTTAGGATGAGGTCTCATCAAATTTTTCCCTTAATATTCTCCCTCTCTAAAAAGCCTCAACTCTGTCACCCTTTTTTTTGAAAAATAACACCAATGCTTTTTTTTTTTCAGAACCACATACAGATCTTGATACTCTGCACGGTTATTCTCCTTGAAGGTTTTTCTGAGAAGTCCTACTCAGATCCTGGAAGCAACTGCAAGCGTACTGGTATCCTGGACTACAAAATCTCTTTGGTTTACTTCACATAAAAAGCTCTCTTCAGCTGACAGTGCAGCTCTTTTCTCCTCTTCCTCCTCATTTGGAATTTTTTCCCCTTTACTTTGTTAGTGGCTGGACTTGAATCTCAATGCTGCATGGTTATTTGTGGCTTGGCTTTTTCCTCCGTTGCCTGATGGCTTCAGTTTAAGTCTCTAGACTAACTGGCTCCTGGCATTTTTCTGAGATTTATATATACTGTCTTCAGGACATTACAAAAAAAAAAATCCTTCCCATTTTTCTGTATAATATGCTCACTGATTTCTTCCTTATCACAGTAAGAATTTAGAGGAATAAATTTTTTTTTTTTCAAAATTTAAAATGAACCCTACTCTTAAAATGTTAAGGCACAACTCAGGCTCTAGGCATGTTTTCACAGGACTCTGTACTTACAGCTGCTAATGGCAGAACACAAGTAATTAACTTTAATTGTTTTCAGGCATTTGGTATCTCCACAGACATTTTCTATACCTCAAAGCAGTCTTCACCTAATAAGGCTCAGTATTTGTAAACGGAAAGAGAAACCCAGCTCAATTTTTATCAGTTAAATAGGATACAAAGAATTGCCTTTCAAAATCAGCTTTACAATAATAAAATCAAGTAATGACAAATCTGCCCATGCCAACTCAAGCTCCTGTGATCTGTTTTATGGGCTGGGTGCATCTTCTTAACAGGGAGCAGAAGATAACGTGAGTCCTTGAGCTTCGTCTTCCTGGTCCACAGAGTTGTGGTTGCCTCCCAGTGCAAGTAACCAAGAATAGGCCAGTTAGAATGGATACAGCCTATCCTGGATTACTTGAACCAGGCCACAGCCTTCTTCTAGAAAGTCAACATATTTTGTCCTTCATAGAAATGAAGTTTATTCTTTGAACAGTGTTTTCCCCCGCTGAGTGAAAACCATTTTGTACTTTACATTCAAAGTATGCATTCCAAACATTTCTGTAGCTTCCAACAACTAAATATAAGCAATCATTAATTGAATTAAGAAAAACCAAACACCACAAACACTTAAAAACTAGTTTTACTCGATGAACAAATTATATTCAAGAATGAAACTCCAAGTAACAGCAAATGAGACTCTCCCTGGCTGCCTTCTTTACTCTTTGACACTGACAGCTAGGCATAAAGACAACACAAGTCAACTTGGATAAAAGACAAGGGATCACCATTCCCCAAAATTCTCCACTAATTGAGGATTAAAGTGTTATTTAATGCTCAGTTTCTAATCTGGGAGCTGTAATTGCTCTGCACTGGTTAAATTGGAAGCATGCTCCAAAAGGGAGGATGTGTTCCTGCAGAAGCTACGTCCAGGGTACCAAACAGGTTGAACATCTTTCCTCCAGCCACCGCTTTCACCCTCAATACACTTCCTACAAAGAACACTCTCAGTTCCAACACGTTTCACTGGACTTCCCACAGTTTCTGACTTATAATTTGGTAGAGCAGGAGACCAGCTCTGATTTCCTTTTATTCAGGGAACCAGCAAGAAATGGAAGAGCTGGCCAGAAGAGTGTCAGCTTGCATCAGAAATGCCTTTTTGTATCTGTGCCATCCTGTCCAGCACAAAGCATGGGATTCATCTCCTGTAACTCTAGCTGCCCTGTAGATGGGCACAGTCTCTGCAGGCATCTAAAGACCCAGAGCAGAAGGAGAGAGAGGCACCTCCACACAAGAGTTATTGCCTTGTAAAATAAAATGACAAATCCTTTCTAAGGACACGGTAAATTAAGCTAGAGAAAGAAAGATAGGAGAGGGACAAGGGGTGTTCAGAAAAGTTATTTTTTAATCTAGAGAAGCCAATTTACTCAAGGGCCCTTTAAAAGAATGATTTGAACTGTCCTCCCTATAAAAGAACAAGAATCTCTCTGAGCTTTGGATTGTAAGTAAGGGAAAACAAACTCCCCAATGGAAAGACAGCCTTTTTTAAACACCTCTGTTGCACAACAAAAAATTACAACATTTACCATGAACAAAACTCATTAAATAAGTCAGTGTCAAAACTCCTTCAAGTGTACAGCAATTGAACTGGCCACAACTTGTATTTCTGGTATATGAGATCTGAAGAATCTTGTATAATTTCAAATTTCTTTCTGAATGAGCACTTCTGAAATCATGTTCTCCACGGGGTTCTGTCTAACACAGAGTTCAAGTTCAACAGTAATCTGTCAGATAATCTCCTGCCTGATAAGGCACCAGGCTTACTGGTAAAGCAGGTAGGGATGTATACAGTATAGTCCCACAACATTTCACATATCCTGTGGTATTTAAAACAGACAGAGGTATTTCCCAGTGCCAGTGATTAACATCTGAACATATACACTCTTTACAGAAATGCACAAAGCATTATAGAGGTGATCAGTTCTGGTTGATAACAACAATTGTTGATAGTGGCTTGCTTATGCTCTAAGTAAATAAAAAATTACAGGTCTGAAGTGGGAACCAGTTGTCAAAGCTCTCCAGCCTGTGTTAATGCACATCAGACTAAGCCAGAATGTCCACTTTTGCCATTTACATTATTACAGTTAAAAAAGGAAAACCACCAGACTGCTGGATGACAGGACATTACTTTGCCTGCAGAGGTGTTACAAACACAGCAATCCAAGACTCTGCCTGTTCTGCATACTGCATAAACCACCTTTATTCCAAGGATCACAAATTCCTTCTGTGACGCAGGTATTTACCTGTTTCAGAGATTAATAGCTTGAAATACAAAGGGATTAAGCAATTTCCTTGAAAATTAAGCAGGAAGTCTTCAACAAAGCACAGAGACTAAATCCACTCACCTCTGTCAAGAGCAGCCTTCCTCCCACTCATGTTTAGGGTGTGCACAAATCCACTCTCTTTAACAATTTTGGTTTTTAAAAATTTATTCTCCCACCCCATGCAGTCATTTTGAGTGCCTAACTGTGTTATGTTTGGTGAAGAATATGAAAGTTTGCAGCAAGGAATGGAAAAGCAACAGGCTTTTGAAGTGCTTGACTGTGAAGCCCAAACAACCTTTTACTGGGTTTCGTTTCAAAGTGTAAATATACCCTTCACAAGCTAACTGATTACAATCCTAAGCTGCTCACTATTGTTAGGCAACCTGTTTTACTCCCTTTCAAAAGCACTCTAGAAAGTTTTAGGAGAGAAAATGTCTGCATTACAGCACCAAACACAATTAAAGCCCATATCAAATGAGGACTGACAATGCCACAATACAAATCTCCCAAAACATCATCTATGTGTTTTATGCATCAAGCTCTGGTGAACATTACAGGTTAAGGTACCCTAGGTATTGAATTTTTCTACACAGAACAGCCAAATGAGCAAAAACTTGTCAAAGTTGTCAAAACAACTATCACTCAGAGCACTTTAAACCACATTTCAGTCCACTGACGGATATTTAGTAATTATTTTAAGAGTGACAATTATATGGATTGTTTTCATAACAGGAAATCGAAACTATGAACTAATATTATGATCTATTCATTGTTCTAAGATCAAAATACAAACCCACATGTCCAAGTAAAAATAATCCCTATAAAAGACAACATTTTACAAATTAAAGCATTTAAAATCTCCATTAAATCACATCCAGGGAAGATCTGCAACTCAATAACTGCATTATATTTAACCTATAACAACCAACAGAAGATGTTTCAGACAATTTTCAAGATTCACATATCAGAAAGCTTCACATTAACCAGTAAAACTCGTCTCCAGCAAGACTCTTCATGTCTGTCTGAAGAGGAAAATTTATGGCACTGTAATTTATTTCATTTAACAGTTTCAGAAATGACTACTGATTAAAGACACCAAGCTACGGTACATGAAGGGGACTGATTTTCAAATTATAGGTATTTTGCAGTTACTGAAAACCATTTCAGAGTCTTAAATGAAGCTCTTAAAGAATAAGACACAAAAATTAGTGTCCTTGCAATTTTGTCCAGACCTTTTAAAGCTGATGAAGCGTATAAAGAGTCCTATCAGAAGAACTTAACTTACAGTAATAAATGGGGACAGAATTTAAACAGATTGCCACAAAAACTGAAGAAATGTCTGTTCTTCCTTAATACTTGTATAAAGCTTTGGCCATATGAACTACCAACAGACACTGAAATCAACTTATGTCCTGTCTAGCTGTGGAAGGAATGAGAAATGCAGCACTCAAGTATTTTTTTTCTAGGCCTAGCAATTTTTGAAAACTCATCCTTAGATGATGTTTGAAAATGTTTCAGAATTGATAGAGCCAAGTACTGAAGTCCTGAGAGAGATATTTTGGAGAACTGAAAAAGCCAAAATGGAGACTTAGTAGTTAGAAACAACGTAGCTTCTCAAGCAGGGATCTGGTCTGGGTGATACATTCCAGGGTACACAGCCTCTGTAGTTTGCAAAAGGACAAGTTTTTGAATCTTAAGCAGCAGATGGAGAAAGGGACACTGAGGACAGTTCCACTACTAGAACTAAAGGAACAACAGCACTTACCTGATGTATGGTTCCATCAATTTCAACAGGAACGATGAAATCAGCATTGCTAATTGGCTAGAAAGAATGACAAGGAAACAAATCAACATTAAAAATAAGATCAATAGAGGGAAAATTTCAGAGGTGGGAAAGAGAAGAGTCCCTCCTTCTCAGGAATAAGTTAAAAAGCATTATTGACTACACAGATCCACTCTGCCTACGTGTCCTTCAGCGCCTGAGTCAGAAGCCTCACACAGCTGTGTTCACCACATGCTGCACTTCCCCCTTCTCTCATGTTTTTAAGCTTCACACAGTGTAATATGTAACATGCTCTCCTGCTTGAATAGCCCCTACTACCACTGAGCATGTTTACCAGGAAAAACAGCTATTTGGGTAACTCTTTCAGCAAGTCTGTGTGGATGATGATAAAGGAATTCAGCTATGTGCTTCACATGTTCTACTCTGGGTCACCAATTAGTAACTAAATAAAAATAAAGACAGTAATATCTAATGGTTATATTTGAATGGGGAGCTGCAACAAGCCTTGAGTTGTATAGTTAAATGATTCTCAAGATGTGATACCCTGAGAACATGCTAGACAAATCAAATAAATCATGTAAAGTTCCATTTTAATTCCAAAGGGAAGAGCAGGCACACTCTGTTCAAGTCCTTGAAATTAGTTTTTCTAGCCTGCTGAATACAAGTTATTTCTTAAGACTGATCTCAAGTCCCACAAAGGGGATGCCCCTAAAGAATCTGTGAGACTAGAAACAGGCTTCAAACCCATCTGGGGGGGCAAATGGGTGCCAAGAAAGCAGCCAAGCGGCCAAAGTAAAGAGATTGAGAAACAGTTCACGAACTGGTGAGCCTAAACAGGTGCTTTGTGAAAAGGGGTAGGAAAAAATGCTGCAGCATTAGCCTAGCAGCATGGCTTTGATCCCATTCCCTGGAAAAACGAGATCCTAATTCCACTGCCAGACAACCTTCCTGCAAAAGGAACAAAATGAGTGTAACAACTTAGGAGGAGGCCACACCCTCTCTCAGTAGAGAAGCAATAAGTAAGATGGTCTGATCTGACGTCTGCAAAGGCCATGTCAGAGGGCAGATGAGAAGCTACACTGGATCTACTCCTTGTGACCAGCCAACACTGGCAACCAACCTCTTGAGCAGCCAATGCTGAAAACTCCATCCTGCTGATGACTGCTGCGCTAGTAAGGTTCTAAACAACTCCTCAAACACCTGCAGACACAATCTAGACCTTTTTTTTCTAGCTGACATCAAGCAATTTCCAACAGATATCCTCCTTTTTGCTCCTGAGAAAGACAGAGGGGAGGCTCCCATCTGTAACCTGCATGAAGCCCCTCAGACAGAGAAGATACTCTGCAGCATCTCTAACAGCCACAGAACAGGTACACAGAAATGTTCTGATGCACCTTAGAAGAAACCCAAATGAACTGTCAATAAGCCTCAGCCACCAGTGTTCACGTGGGTGCCAGCTCCATGCATACTTTGAAGAGACCTGCATGTACTTGAAGAATTTATGTATGCATGACTCCCTTAAGGAAGATAAATATTGTGTAGCAGCAGAAAAAGAATAGGGCACTGCAAGTTGCTAAGGTTTTGAAGCCCACCAATAAAACTGAACTTTCTTAACAGGAGCAGCACCACCCAGATGTCAGAGAAAACTATATTCTGTTTAGACAACTTAGCAAAAGCTAGCAAATAAAGCTCACCCTTAGACTTTGTAACACTAACCAAGCTGTTCTTAACTACATATTTGCTTCCCTCACTTACACTTTAGACACTACATGGCTCTCTTGTTGGCACAAGTGATAAGGAAGAGAGCATGGGCTGGGGTTCCCTGCTTCATCTTCATGGGAAGACAGGAGAAAAGTCTGAAACAGTTTGCTGGCTAAAGGTTTCTGGGGTTGCACACGTGAAGCACGTACACACCTCGAGTGGGAACCACAGAGAGTGTGAAAGCAGACAGTGTATTTCCACTGAAAATCTTCAGTTCAAACTGCTTCTACTTAACGAGATGCTTCAGAGTTTTGAATGTTCCAAAAGTGCTTCACAGCCAGTTTTGAATAGGACTACATTCCAGGCTTGCATGTGGTTTAATTCATTTTATACAAAACTGTGTTTACATCTCCTTGCTTTAATAATTTATGATTTTTGCTTCTATTATTGTTTTATGATGGGAATGATAACTACAATGTCTATCTATTCCTTTTTTACTCTTGCCAAAGCACCCCAAACTTTATTCCTTTAATAGGCACTTAACATGAAAGGCTAGTACCTCCTTAAAACTTCACAAATATGCAGGGGCATAAAAAGACAAGAATTACCCTCCTTCAGATGTTGCTGCTTTCATAAAAAAGCACTTTAAATATTCTGCTTCTCTGGTTGTGTGAAAAAAAAAAAAAAAGTAAATCTGCGTTTGAAATATGAGGCCTATTTCATAACAGGATTATGAATTCTAAAATATTGTGTGTTTTAAATAAAACATTTTGTGCTAAAAGTCACAAATTTATGTATGCTTTTACAGCTTTTAAGTGGGGACCTGCCTGGGTAGAGCAGACACGTTTTAGTGGAAAAAAAAACCATGACCAAACAAACAACTAAAAGAAACTGCAAAAGCAAGCTGATTATTGAGGCAGAGCAATGTGCACATAGGTGTTACAAACCCCCTGCTCTTTTGGCAATCCATTGTTATTTTTGATGATCCCAGTGGCCTTACTTCAGCTGAAGCATTTCCCTTTATGAAACAAAATCCAGAGAGAACCACTGGACAGAGCCAGGCACTAAACAACTGAAGCCATTTCCTCCAATACTTGGTTTGCTCTTACATGCTCCCACCAAGGTTTCATGTTAAGGTAATGCCATCATAGCTGCTGTAAAACCCCAATAGTGCAGAAATGCCAACATTTGCACTATTTACTTCATACAAAAAAAGACCAGTTTTCTTTTCCTAACACAAAACATTATTCAGTGTCCAAGATTAAGCAGAAAGGTTTCATGTTAAGGTAATGCCATCATAGCTGCTGTAAAACCCCAATAGTGCAGAAATGCCAACATCTGCCCAACACTATTTACTTCACACAAAAAAAACAGTTTTCTCTTCCTAAGACAAAACATTATTCAGTGTCCTAGACCAAGCAGAAAAATAGTTTGATTTTTCTTAAATATCTAATGTCATTTAAACACCCATTAAATATCACTTGAATAAGTGATTAATGGAAATGAGCCCACTAAGAAAGCACACTGCCATAAAGGCAAACCTCAATCCTACAGAAAAGGATTTACACTATGTCAATCAATAAACGTGCACTTATTTTAAATGGTTAAAAAACAATTAACAACCACTTTAGCTGAACCTTATTTTGTTTCAAAATCCACAGCCCTCAGAAAACAAATTTTTACATTTCAGAAAACACTAGGCCTAATACTTCATTATTTTAATGTAAATTAAAATTACAGTTTTCCCTTCCTATTTTTGCCTCTCGTTTAATTAGGAAGGCATGGTCCCTGCCTTCCCAATCTGTCTGTGTTTCTAATCTTGCTGAAAAAAATCTCAAGTGCAAGTTCAGCCTGGGTGTAGAAGACAAGGATCTGGCACTGAGGTTAAGAGGTTCCTGTACTCCACCACAAACTGTTACAAACCATTTAGGCACAATAAAGACAGAGAAAAATCTTGGTTTCGGTTTGAGGCACGGGAATATTTGTTCTAGTATCTCCATATAAGGTCTTGAGTCAACAAAGACAGGCTGCTGCCAAATTCTAACGACAGCCCGAGTTATGGTTTACATATTTAAATGCTGGCAACCAAATATTGCAGGATTAAAATGTTAAGTTCATGCTAGCAGTGAAAAATGGAGTGCAACCCAAACGAGGAGAGTGTAACGTTGGTGGTAACTCCAGCTTGCTACTAGTCAGGAAACATTCTACTGATTCTTAGAAGTTCTCCAATCAAGGTATAAAACCAGCAGATATTTTACCATGTTGGACATTTACTCATCAGAAATGTTACCAGGACTCTGAACCAATTTAGGTTACCTGTATTTCTGAATTCTCCTACTCTAACTTTAGCTCTGCTTCAACAATGGAAAAACAGCCCTACTTCCACCACGTGCTGCAGTCTGAAGAGTTGTCAAAGCTGCTTCTAGAAGATGCCCGATTCATCAGCAACAGCTAAATGCTATTTGCTCTCCTGTTGTGAAAACTAAATACTTGAGAACCCATGCTGTGATCAGGGCAGCAGCCTGACATGGGAAGCAATCTTCTCCAACAGAGCAGAGCCATCACTGGTGCCCAAAATCTACTTATTTAAGGGACATCTAACCTGTGCTGTGCTTCCACTCTCCTAGACTAATTACAGCATCAAACATCAGAAATGAAACCCTCTTTTCAGAGCAGCAAGTTTCCTACCTGTTACAATACAAGCCCTTGTTGGAGTAGTTACCATCTAAAGGCAGTCTCTATTCCAGGCCTTGCTGCAGCCAGTGTGACTTTCTCTGAAGCAAATCAATGACAATGCCTGTGATGCTCCCCAACAGCCCAATTAGGATGAATATTCATAGGAATAACAACAAGAACTACCAGGCATCCTGGGAGAGCCTGTAAGACCAGTTCATGTGTTAGGAGGCTTAACAGTTCCTGCAACATTCACTGACAGATTCTAGCTGCAAGAGATTACCTCTGAATTTACTTACCTTAAATGAACTGTGCACTAAAGTTTCATCTAAATCAATGACCACACACTTCTTCCCATAGTCTGATGCTGTCAGTTCTGGCAGGAGGTATTTAGCTGGTGGCTAAAAACAAAGAGAAAAGAGGAAGACAACAAAAAAACAATAAAACCTCTATTGAAGGGGCATTAACCTGCCAACACTACTGTTCTAGTAATTACTGGGAATTGAAATACATCATGACTTGAAGTTGAATGTTTTTCTGGGCTTATCACAAGCATGGAAATTAATGGCTCATGCAATACCCATACAGACTTCTTTTTTCAATGAGAGAGTTCTTTAGAATGATCTCCAAAGCATTGGAAATGAAAATGGTAAACCACCACCACTAGTTAAAAACAATAGAGAAAAACAGGACATTGGATACAATTATATCTTTTTCCAGTGGCCCTTTTCCTAATGCCTTGCTTTTGGTTGTTGTTGTTACCCTAGTCACAGACAACACCATTTCCAGCTGTATCACACCGATGGGTGTTTACACAAATGCTTCCTTCTGTTTGCTATGAAAGATGCTGAAGTGGAGAAATAAATCCTGAAGGAAGACAGCATTACTAATTTTATCTTCCAGGACATGTCTCCACTCTTTTTTACCACTTGTGAAGGTGCTGACCAGGAGTTTTCAAGGTTAATCGAGGCATTAAAACTGCAGTAAAGAACCTAAACTAGGCTCTTCTACAGTAAGCTGCCCTTATTAAAAAATGGTACAAATGACACAAATTGACAATTTTTCTGAAAGCAACGCAGATGGTCACAGAGTCTTCTGATGGCTCAGTCCCCACTTTAACAACCCAATTTGCAACAGTTATTGTAATCTAGACTTTGGTACTGGATGCTTCCTGAAATAACAGCAATGGGAGAGAATGCTTCTATTTGGAGCTGAAACTGCTGCCACTCACTTAAAGAGGGGGTTTTGATGCAGGAAAAGAACTAGCTTTAGAAAAGGAACAGTAGAGAGAAGTTTAAAAATGAGAGGCAATTAAATTAAGGATTGGATACAGAGTTCTGACTTCATTCTTTAGCTATCTTTTTATCTGTTCAGACACTGTTGCTCTGGTAAGGATGCATCTGACATTTTTTTTCTACTCTTTTCAATAGCCTTTTGTAGAGGTGCTTGCAGAGTTCTGAGGCCACCCCTCTGCTGACAGCAGGTGACAAACAGATGAGTCAGACACCCTCTGAACACCCTCCAGCAGCAAGCACCAATTATTAACCACTGACTGATTTCAGACATCACCTTAAGTTGATAGCTACTGGCCAGTGATGCCTAGTAAATTCTTGTTTAAATGACAGAACTAGCAAATGAGATTCTGGACTTCAGTGTCTTTAGCTAAAGTGTAAATTACTGGGGGATTTTTAGGGGTATTCACTGAAATTGATGTAGTTCCTTAAAATTAACATCAACAACAGTTTCTTCAGCTACCGAAATTGAAGTTGCTTTGCTTACAGGCCACTTGTCTCAATCCATTTTCTCTCAGCACACACCTAAATGACCTTCAAGAAGAAACAACTTCTGCTTAATGTCTGTAAAGTATCCATGCATCACAGGAGCCTAACGAGGCCAAAATTCATAGGACACTCTAAATTAGAGACAGTCCCATCCGTACACTACTCCAACAACTACTTGAGTTCTACCTCTGCTTGTTTGCATCTAGGACCAGATACAAAGAATTTTGATTTCTCACTCCTATTTCAATTCCAAAAGGTATTTAGGCACCTCACCTCTATTATTATTTTTCATAATAAGAAGGATCCAGACATACACTCTAAATAGAATGAAAGCTTATTGAAAGGAAAATCCAACCCACTTAAAGACCATAATCTTCAGAACCCAGGCTGGGATACTGATTCCTTGTCTTTGAAGAAGAGAAAAAGGTAGGAACAACCCAAGAAACCTGAAGTGTATGTTTGTTTTTTTTTTTAAAAAAAGCATAGTTCAGTTCATTTTTGTACTCTTGAGACTGTCAGTATTTAGTTTGAATTTTTGACTCAATCAACCTGCACAAGCAGTTCAAAGCCAGCAGTTTCTTCTGCTATACAATTTTTTTTTTTTCCAAATAGAAAATATCTATGTGGAAAAGATTTGGAAATAGATATTCTTTAATATAAAATATGCATATGAAAAAAATATAAACACTGTCTTGTCACAGATATCTTTGGTTCTTATCTGGAATCTAGCATGCTTGCCATCCAGAAAAGGATGGACATACACCAAGGATTACAAAATGTGAGAACTTTCAACTCTGAATACCCAAATTCCTTGACTCCATGGTGAGAGGCAGCCTGTGCCCATCTTCTTCACCCACCTGCACCTCTGCTTTCTCACGAGCAGAGTCTGGGAGAGCAACGAGCTTACCTGTGGTATGTACACAGAGAGGCTGGTTACTGCTAGAGTTTCTCTCCCTTTTCAGTATTGCCTTAGGGGATGATGTATAATTATTGACCTAACTACCTAGTAAGACCACACATCAAGGTTTTTCCTGGAGACAGTCTCCCATGAGGGCACACCAACCTTCCTACAAGCTTTGGCTGTTCGATTTCAGTCTGATCCTGTTTTCAAAGACACCTGGTCAACAGTTTGCACATCTGAAGATCAGAAGAAGTACATTTTCCATTTCAAAAGCAGCCTCTGCTGCCCTCAATTTTGAAAGTACACCTGCCACCTGATAATCTAACAGGAATAAGGAAGCTGTTCTGAAGATAAAGGCACTACAAGTTGGAAGACTGGTAAACATCTGGAGTAGGACTTTGGAGCAAGGATGATATTTTTGAGGCTTTAGGAACTTAAAGGATTTGTACGTAGGGTTTTCAGCCCATGTGTTCTGCTGTTCAAGTTTTCTGATCTAAAGCAATTTCCACATGCCAAGAGTAGTAAAGCTTTTAGGTAGAAATGAGCATTACTCAATATTGTATTTTAATTTCCTCACTAATGGAGACATATCCAAGAAGAGCTCTAATTGCCAGATTTACATCAACGTTAATAGCAAATAGTTATAGATCTTTGACAATTTCCCTTTTGAAACATAGTAGCTTTAAAGATATTGAAGATGATTAAGAGTATTTAATTGTGGCTAACAGCAATTCATATTTACTACACAATACTTTCCAAAAGACTGCAGACTTCCACAGAACTCAGCAGAAAAAAGAACATGTGGTATCTCCGTACTGTAAGTTCTAGCTTGGTCTTCAATTCCAACAAGACATAAATTGTATACAAGTTAAAGCTTTTAAACTAGTCACTGTTTGGGATTTATGCATTCCAGCCAGGTCTCATGGCTGATCAGCTTAACAGACCTTGTAGTGAAACGACTGCTGCACTGCTTCAGTCCCGTGGAAATAGTATATTCCCTAAGAAAAAACAAACAAAAAAAGGGGGTGGTGGCAAGAAAACAGGACTTTTGGTTGAAGCATAAACAGCCAGTCAACACAAACCTTTCAGAAATTTACTGTACAAAGCAGTCATAACCTTTCTTCCCTGTAAGCCCATATTTCTCACAGAGGCAAGTATCAGAATTAAGAAGCCCTTTCTTTGTGTGCTGCAAATTTTGTCTAGCTTAAGTGCAGCATATTAACCTGCTGTTCATATTCCCTTCAATTCATGTTTTTAGCTGCACTCTACAGAGCTAACAGCTTCTCCCAGCAGAAATACTCTAATAAAAAAGAAATTATTCCCACTTAAAAACGTAGCTGCCCAAAGAAGCTGGCTCCTGTTACGAACCAGGCAGTGCACAGAATTTCTTGTAGAAAAAGTTTTAACAAGAAATTGTCTAAATTTAGGCAAGGATGAGTGAAAAAACAATATCTTGGTGCTAAGATTTCACTTCTGCAGGGATTTTGAGTACTAATTCTGGTACTACTCCTAAATACCGGGAATTTAAATTGAACAAAACACTCCAACTCTTTTAAGAAGATGGAGGAGTATGGCTTTGGTTTTCCAGCTACTTTATGTTCAAAAGAATGAAAGTCAGTGCTGCAGTTGCTATGGGTCTACTTTGATTTCTCTGCCATACTCCTTCCCAAACAAAGCTGAGAAAGACCCAAGAAAGCACAGGCATCCTGAGCTATTAATGTACCTTCAAGCCAGGTCTATCACAATGTGTCAGCTGGTATCGTTTTTCCTAATTTTCTGTGTGTTTATTTCAGCCCTATAAAATAGATCTTTTTGCAGTGTTACCAAAAAAAATCAATTATGTTGCTGTTTAATCTATGCCTTATCTGGGAATTGTTTCAGAATACAAGATACAAACAGGATAAAGTTAATCTTGAAAAAAAAAAACCCCTAAGTCACAGTATCTTCTGAAGAACCTAACTTGAAGATGAAGTATTTCTTGCTTAGCAGTTACCCCTACCAATAACCCAGTGAAAATTGATATTAATTCAAGTCTTTAAGTGCAATCAATACAGGAAAAATGTGATTGAGCAGCAGACACATTTCACTGATTTGCACACAGGTACGTAAAGCAATGGAAGCTTTCAAACAGGTGACCTCAGCAGACTGACACATTTCATACATGCATGACAGAGCTTCAGAAAATCTCTTCTTTTGACTGGAGGCTTCAGTTTGAAAGTTTACTGGGCGGGGAGCAGGCAGTGATCTTTCTGGAGTCACTAAGGAATTCTCTAAACATCTGAAGTGATTGTATTTCCAGTGAACCCTATAAAAACTAAATGTCCAACTTAACCGTGTCGAAACTCACTCGGTGCCTGTTCAGAAGATTCTCCTCCTGGTACGTACAATACGTACAGTTCAAACAGCCTATTTCTCATCCATGATGCTATGCAGTAGAGCATCAAGAATTTCTGCCTTAATGGATCTTAAGAACATGGTTAAGAGTTGCCTCAGAGTGATCCTTTGGGCTCCCATGCTCAGGACAACCAGCCCTTGTCATGCTGGCAAGGAGGATCACTTTAATTTGAAGCATTTTTCTAATATAAAGTTGCATTTTTGTTCCTACCACTTTCTCCACACACTTTCTCTCTCTTCTTTCTGTCTTTAGTTAGAGTATTACACCCTCATGCTTGCTGGCTTCTGTGTGAGGGCCAGGAGCACTCTGATACTCAGACAGTAAATGTCACACCACTGCCTGCAGGTGATGGTTGCTTGACAACACTTGCATGTCCTGTTGGAAGAAGGCATGAGATGGCACCCAAGAAGAGGAATGAGTGTGTTTGAAGTCCCCTGCTCACTGAGAACTCTACGTCATGACTGCAAAGACAAGTTAATTTTACTAGCTTACTGAAGTGCTGGGAATATAGGTCAAGCAAAAATACAGCTGAGCTACCCAAAAAGAAAAAACATGAAGAGGAAGAAGAAAAAAAAGATGAAGTCCCCTGCTCACTGAGAACTCTACGTCATGACTGCAAAGACAAGTTAATTTTACTAGCTTATTGAAGTGCTGGGAATATAGGTCAGCAAAAATATAGCCGAGCTACCCAAAAAGACAAAAACATTAAGAGGAAGAAGAAAAAAAGAAACCTCTTCTTGAATCATTCATTTTCCTGCCACTACCCAAATCTAACAGAGCACTGCTTTAACATCACAAAGACAGTGTTCTAGCAAAGGACCTCATTTCGTATTTGGACCTGATGAAGCTGTACTCATTTGTCATTTCAAAATTTCATTCCGTTTGAATTCTTACTTCATTAACACCTACGCTTACTCCCAGGCAAATTTGCATTCCAGGTCAGAGCACAGCCAAGAACGTGTTTTATGTTCAAATAACTACCAGGAGAGCAACTACAGTCACCAAACAGAATGGGGCAGGTATATAAAAGTAATTTAGAAATCAGTATTTTCATACATCCAAAGTTTTCTATCCCCAGCCTTGCATATAATACAAATTACATGCATGTACATGTGTGTATACATGTATACACACATGCACACAAACATATGCATGAGCCCTACTAGAAGTAATTTCATATTAGAAATGAAAGGTGAGCAACAGAGTAATTTCTAACAGTTTTTAACTCCCAGAAAAAGCAGTGAGGGAGGGAAGTGATCTGCACAGTTGCAACCATCTCCTCACACTTCTGCACTGCAGCATGGACAGTGTTCTTAGAGGAGGTCTTGTAATGTTGAGCTACATGAAAAGGAATGAAAAAAGGAAAAAAATATAATATTTTGGGAAGTATTTAGGTCTTTAGGGGCTACCAAATTTCACAAGAAAAAGGGCTGTGTCAGTATAGAGAATTCTGCAGTAGTAAAGTGAACAGCAAAGGAGCTCAAAAAAAAAAGGGGATTTCAGCTTTAAAAAGCCTAAATCTTCATCCACATAAAGATCAAGGAAAAAGACAAGCAGCTTTATGACCAAAAAAGGTTAAACTTCATTAAATTAAAAGCTTCAGTTTGAAGGACTTTTTTTTTTTTTCTTCCTTTTATTTAGTTTTGAAAATAATTCGGATGCCAAACAGCATTCCAAGTTTAATCCAAGGAAGATAAGCAGCAATATTAAGGCCCATAAACCAGCAGCTGACACTGAGAGCATCATCTCAATCGAGTGCAGTGCTGCAGCTACAGTCAGTGTACTCTTTGCTCCCAAAGTGGCTTTTCTTGCAGTTTCTAACTTTCCTTTTCAAACTGGAATATAGGGAAAAATTACGAGGAAAAGGTATTTGCCACTGTGTCCCACACAGTGATGATAAGTAATTTTTTTCTCTATTAAAAGAAGTAACTTCAACTTTCAGAGTACTTCAAGCATTTTCAAAATGATAAAAATTGAGAAGCGAATTTAACTGAGAAGCGAGATGAAAACCATACAAAACCCAAACTCTTCTTTTAATCTCTGTACAACACACGTGCAGTGCAGTTCATCGCAGAGTATACAACATTGCAGACAGAATATAAAATCCTTTGGTTAACATGCAACACAAACCAGACCTGTTAGACTGCAACATAAGATGAATCAAAGCAAAAGTTATGAAAATTATTAAAAGAAAAAGGGATAAAAATACATACACTTGGTATAGGCATGACCTGCATCTGGTCACCCTGGGGAAAAAGAAAAAAAATCACTGTAAGGGTAATGGCTTTTAAGGGTAGAACAAAGGTTTGAAGTAGTAAATGTAGCACTCAAACATTTTAAACCAAAAGTTCAAAGTATTCAAGAAACCAGGGTAACAAAAAAAAATAAAATCAAAAACAGGATCTTGTATTTTAGTTGCTGAAATGATTGGTTAGTGTACTGGCATTTATGATTTTTTTTTTAGGAGACTGGACTGGTAAAACCCATGCTATGATTAATAAGAGATGATAATAAGAAAGTACCTGTATTTACTGTAACTTTTTCAGCTTTAACATCTACTAATGGGTATATTTGTCTATTTTCTCTGCAGCGACAAGAGGCTCAGCCAGACCTTGGTAGCAGGGCAGAAGCCCACTCCTTGAAGTTGACTTCACTTGCAGCAACTGCCTCAGAAAAAAGCAGCATTTTCACTTGGGCAACAGCAACATGTCCAAGAAGGACACCATGATGAGAAGAAACTAAGTCAAAGAATCCCACTTTCTCCACCCAGGAGAAGACAACAATACCAGTGCTCTTCTTGTGGTCTCACTTTTGTGTTGTACTTGGAAGAAGGCGAAACAGCCTTGGCCAGCTTGACCTTTTCTTCTCATCCTCAGACCTGACATGGAGACAAAGACGCTTCCATTTACAGCTTCCAAATGGAGAAGGCTGACCACAGGGTCGCCAGCTCAAGATGCAAGACATTTTGGGAAGCAGAAACTGTATTTTCTAATCTCTCTCTTCTTTCAGAAACAAGTATTTGTTTTCTGATGGGCGCTACACATAAAAAAAAAAAGATTAAAAAAAAGCAGCTGACCTTTCTAGCACAGATGTTGCTTAGGTAGCTGATTTTATGCTTTAATTACTTTGACAACACATGCTCTGACTACCAGCAGACTGGCTATGCACTGAAAGAGGTGGCTTCAATATTAAGAACATCACCTTCCAGTTGAAAAAATCTTGTGCTCGCTTGTTTTGGAGTCTAACACGGTGTTGACACATCACTGACAAACAAAAATAATTCAATATTATTTTCAAAGTCCTCGTTTCTTATTGCTGTAGCAGTGGAAATTTTTCCTCAAGTTTGACCAAAATACAGAGAAGCTGATGAAGCAGCTAGAGAGCAGCAACTACCATGGGGTATCAAGTTTGCTTTAGTAAAAAGCACCAAATTTCTATAAAAACAAATCCATAAGCTGGCAAGAGTCCAATTTTTTTCCTTAAGATAATAGCAAAAAGAAATAAAATATAAGTCAGCAGGTTAAAGTCCTGCTACTGGAACATCCTCTGAAGTTCATGGGCTATCTGAGGAAGGAGGGAATTTGAGTAGGTACCAGTTGGATTAGCTGACCTGTGATCAAATTATTATCAAGGTAACGGTTACACAGGCAGAGCAGAGATTGTCAAGCTGTATTTTGTTTTCATTTTTAAAGGCTTTTTTTTTTGCATTCACTTGTAGAGAGGATAAAATACAAGTGGAGCCCCTCTTCTGTCAACAGCCAAAAAGAGTATCTGAGAGGCAGAGGCATATCCACAGTTAGGGTACAAGGTTATCTTGCTCGTAGACACAAATATCACTGTGTCACACCAGGTCTTCTCCCAGACTTCAAGAGGCCCTCACCATGGTGTAACTGGCTTTCTATTTCGGCAATGTCTTCAAGCAAGGGCTGTACCCCACAGTATTACTGTTAAGCCTTTCATGGGAATCCAGAATCTAAGTTGCTAAAGGACTTGCATTGCTGTTTGCTTTGCTTTTCTTGCAGGATTTCTTAAAAAAAAAACCAAGATAAATAAGTGCATTTCCTAAGAGGAATCCCAGAAGTACTATTCAAAAATCAAAATGCTAACAATGACAACTGGAAAAACAAGCAGGAAGGTAAACACAAGATAAACTGCTGGTAAAGCATTAAGTGTTCATGAACTTTTCAGAACAGTTTTTAAAAACAAGCCTGCTATGGGAAACTTCTCTAGTGTCCTGCCTCATTTCCTGATGCCTTGGAACAGGAAGGGAAATAGGTCATAACACTATCGTTTGAAATAGAGCACAGATGACTGCATTTGTTGAAGTCTTTCCACGAGCTCCTAATGCTGGTAACAGAACAAAGCTGTTCCTAGAATGCCAAAATTTCCCCATTGTATCAGGGAGATAACCCAGGAGCTGATTTCTCCAGACACTGAAACAACTTTTTTTCCTAGGGCATAAAATATACAGATGGAATTATAAATTCTATCTTTTCCCTTACCTACATAACTTTAGTTTGAGAGAAAACATCATTCTCAGTATGGGATCACTGAGCACCAAGTGACAGGCCACACTGTTTTGTTTTTTTGAGAACAGTCTGTAGTCAAAGATAAGGAGTGGTTTCATTTTAAAGAATCACCTCTTTAGAGAAGAAGCTGATGAGAAGAACAGATTAATCATATTTGTTTCTGTAACCAAAGCTTGTACTAGACTGTGATAGGGCCTTTAAAAGCAATAATACAGTTACTGTTTGACTTGCACTGACTTGGAATATTGAGCTTTGTCTCTTAATATAGAAGACTTTTTGGGAGGCAAAGAAGGTCAGAATGAGTATGCAAAGAGAGAGGAGCCAAACATAGCTGTGCAGAGGGGGGTTCTGTTTTCTAAATAGCTCTGCCATACCAAATGCTGATGGTGACCAACAGAACCAAAGACTAGGAATTTTCTTGCTCTGATCAGCAAAGGTTAAGCAGGAGAAAGAGTACTACTGTTGACATCAGTCTCAATCTTCTTCTTCCACACTGAAGAGCAATACTGGTTTCAATGTCTGTTTGGCAAGTATGCTGCTAATAGTTTCCCCACCAAAGAGTCCATGCTCATGCTGCTCCTCTATGTCTCTTGCATGAAGGAGATGCTACTTTTAACCTCAAAAATGTGCTCCCTACAAGCTGGGTTTTTCTTGCTCTGGTGAACCACATTCACGTGGGATAGAGAAGATCCTTTTCCCTGCACACAGAGATGCCTGGAGCAGACAAGAGTGTTGCAGACATGACAACAGAACAGCCTTCCAGCTCACGTTGGAGATGATGGCACCATGCAGCAAACAGCAGTGGGGGAGAAGGAGACTTAACTTTTGCAGTTGTTAGGATGGCTGCGGTACAAATTCAAGGACTTGATGTTTCTGGCTTCATTCCTGTTACAGGGAAAGCCACAGGGGCAACTCCTGCCCCCAGAATAAACCTTCTAATTCTGGTTTCCACCCTGTTGAATGTGGATCAAGACCTTCTTCTCTGATCCAACCCCTTGAAAAAACCCTTTCCTCATTCATGCTTCATCTTGTTGAACACGATCCATCTGCCTGATTTGGATCTAACTGTGAAAGAAAAGCAAAGATGACTCTAGTGGAAGTGGGTTGTAAGTGAAATGGCAAAGTGCCAATAGTCAGAGTACCCTCACCTACCACAACTGAAAGCAAAGAGAAGGAAGAGCTGGTTTACATCCAGCTTTTCTCACCTTATCTAGATGCCTCCTTGAAGCCTGCAGATGAAATCTGTATCTGCAAACACTTCAAAACTCAGGTAACAAACTTACCCAGAAAAGAAAACCAAAACCACACCACCTTACACTTAGAAGTATGCCCAGAAACTGCACAAACTGAGTCAAGTTGCTAACTGAAGACCAAAAACTGTTTTGGTTTCTTCTGAATAAATTCAAATCTCACTTTACTCTCCCAACACTCTGGCCCCTAAAAAAACCCAAAACTGGCCAGAAGGTGTTGGTGAGCTGCCTGCTGCTGAGCAGGCAGGAAAAATTACCAAGGATTTCATGAGGCTGAACATTGTGTGGTCCCAATGACACATCTGGCTCAGCATCCAAGCTGCAGACAGGCTGATATACCCACTGTAAGAGATATTACATCTTAGAACACATCTCTGTGCCGTGTGAAGAAGTTGTCACATTTTAAGAAAAACAAATATACAATAGTTTCAGTAAATACAAGTTATTATTGAAAAATGTTGTATTGAAACTTCAGAGACAGAATGGACCATTCATTACCAGTATTAGAGTCACACTTGGACAAGCAGCTGCTCTGTGAGTAGAAGATTTAAAAAATGAACTCAATACTTTAAAGAAGTTTTTGGGCTTTTTTTTCTGCCTAACAGAATAGAAGTCAGCACTGAAAACCCCTCTTTATTCAAACCCATGCTCAGGTTGGTGTTTCTTCCAATCCTATGAAGAAGTGACATGAGACTTGACTTGCTGGACATAATCAAGGCACATCACTTGGTAAAATATTAAATGAAGCACTGATTCATTTGAAGCACTGCTTTCATTTTTTTTCTAATACAGTGAAATAACAATAAAAATTAAATTGCACAAAGCAATTACTCCAAACAACACTTCAGACCTGTGTTTTCAGTTACTTTATAAAACACTCTCCCCCGTTTTCCCTCCTTTACAACAGATTAAAGAATCAAGCCTCCTAATCAGAAGGAAGTTAGCCTGTCACTTCAAGAATATGCCAAAAACGGCACGGAACAAACACTGAATTCCTGTGAAACCAGCAGAAGCTTTCTCTATTTCTTCCCCTCCTCTAATCTCTTCATGACCAGTTTTCACGTAACAACTGCTCTGGACAGTATGACAGAAGGAAAGTACATCCAACCCATTTTATACTAGTTTCTAATGGTAACTATTTAACATTGTTGTGCAATTTTCTCCTCCCATTTTTGAGGGAAAGGGTGACAACACGTGAACTGACTGGGCCACGGTCAGAGGTCACCTGTGACGTGATGAAGAATGAATAAAACATACAAAAGAGATAACAAATGTCAGTAACCCACCATCTGAACAGCAGCTCAACAGAATTTAAACTATTCTGACTGGCAGTCAGAATAATGCAAAAAGAACTTTAACTAAACAGCAGAGGAATTCAGGTGGTGTGTTGACAGGCTTTCTTCTCTTCCCTCAAAGAGGTAATTTTATCACTCCTGGACACTTAAATGTCACCAGTTTACAAACTGGGGCCCACTGTTGCATGTACTTTCCTCCAGCTTACTTATCACTCTGAATCCAGGCAAGGTGATCAGTGTAACTCGACCAAAACCAACCAGCCTGCACAGCTCAAACACAGCTCGAAGAGCACCGACCTGACCACACAACAACATTCAAACACATCCACGTCTTCAATGCTGGTTTGCTTCCTTTAAAAGATTTTCCTACTTACACTGTGTTAGCATTCCAAATAAAAGCTCATTAGTCTTTAATACTGCATTTGAAATAGAAATGTCACAGGCTCATTTGTACTCACTTACTACCCAGAAGCTTAGCTATGCTTGATTTCTCCTATGAAGATCTGTAGGCAGCTGAGTGCCTTTCATTCCATTTGAAGGAAATGCACTCTGTAATAATTCTTTCTAACATATTCCTTGAACTTTTTTTACTCTATTGTACCATAGTCTGGTGATTCTATCAGTTCTGTGATTTATGTTCTGGGCTCGTGCATGAATACTGCCCAACTCCAAAACTCTCACCAAGTACCACGGAGTGAGGATGGGAATCTGTGTGAAGCTACACACACACTCACTCACACAGGGCATTAGATATATTTACAAAGTAACTGTTTTACAAAATGCAACCTGAAAACTATTTACCATAGATCATTTTAACTCACATTTTCTATTAAAAAAACCTCTTCTTTTCTCTATGTGTTTCTTCCTAATGAACTCCCATTTTCTCTCAGCTGTAATTCTGCCAGTTGACTCACTCCTCTCTCCTTCCCATTCCCTAATACAGTGGAAAGGGAAGTTCCATTGGCTTTTCACTCCTTCTGTTTTTCAGGTGAACAGGCACATACATGCTACACACTATTCAGCTTCCCCTTCAGTCCATCCAGGCTAGACTTTCCTCATTTCAAGTCAAAATGTTCCTTGGCTAGCAAAAGAAGTCTAAAAATACACACTGAATTCCTCCTCCTGGCAGAGGCATTTTCAGCACGCTTTGCCCCTGTGTGAGCAGTTTCAGCATGAACTGCTGCAGTTCAGACACAACCTCCACACGAATCCTTAGCCTTCATCACTTTCATTTGCTTTCCTTTCCTCTCTCCCACCAAACAGTTCCTCTGCTCTTTCTCCTGAGCTTTTCAGGATTCAAATATAAGCAGCAAAATCCAAAACAAAATACAGTGGACTGGAGAAGGTAGGTAAGAAATCAGCTGCAATAAATACGAAAAATTAGTTTGAAGAGCAGAAAGGGAAAATATCATCTCAATTTCTGATATTGTTCTCCATCATGGATAAATCTGTATTTGCAATCCCCTGAAGTCTTGGAGAAGCATGAGGGGAATGGTGTTTCCATTAAGAGTACAGCACAAGCAGAGTTTTGAGAGCACTGAAAAAACAACATTGTATGGAAAGTTTATGTTCCTGTGTTTGCTGTATTCAACAGAAGTCCTTCAGTTCATAATGCAAATGTTCTCAGTGTGCACCAGATTTAAACAGAACATAGAAATTGATTTGTGCTGTGATTTTATGAATATGGCAAAGCAATATAATTACTAGAACTCAATGACAATAACATGCTGCTCTTATAAAATTTTACACTTCAATGCATTGTATGTATCGATTAATTTGACTTATTAGGTAAACAAAACTTAATAACCTGGAAAAGAGACCAAAAGCCAGTAACTTTGGACTCAGCATGCATTAAATATAGGTGGACTGGTTAGAAAAAATGTCTAAATACTTATGGTTCTTCCCTTTATTGAACTGTTATTTTATGTTACTGAAATCCTCTTTCACCTGAGTTGGGAAAGAGAACCAAAGCCAGAGACAACCCAATATGAAGTTTTATGAGCAGTTCACTTTTTTTAGTGTCTCACTTAGATTCAAATGTTGTGTGCTTATAAAATGCATAGTGCCAATACCTTTCATGGAGAAGTTAGTTTTAAATTGCAGCTGAAGAGACATTGTTAGTAATTTACCATTAAAATGGTGACTTCTTCTGTAACTCAATATATTCCCCACGAGGGAAACCCACTAAGACAAACCTTCAGAAGTGCAGTTAAACCTAGGTTACAGAAGACACATATGACAGTAAAACAAGGTAAAAGCCTGACCTTCTGAAGTCCTCCATTCTCCTCCACCAAAGGAGGAAGAGCACTGGTGCTGTTGGTAGATGGTGGTTCGACATTGTAGTCACGAAAGCAGCAGAATAAGGTGCTAAAGATACTTCGACTCCTCTGCTTCTTCAAGCTGATATTACATTGGGACACTGGGAGGGAAAAAAAAACAAACAACAGCATAAAAATAAATTCATGTAGCACAAACCTAGTTTTTCAGACCACAATGACTGAATTTAAGATGCATGGTTATTACCTCGGAAGTCATTCTAAGTCTTAAGATAACCTCACAGAGATTTTCCATCATATTAATTCCCCTTTCTTTCCATTTTAACAAATTTTTCCTTGTCTAACTCACATGGTGACATTAATCTATTACTAACTAACCTGGATCTCTGCACAAAGGTCTTGCTGTATTAGGTCACTACACTGAGAGTCTTCCTAGAAATATCCAAAGTAGATAATGCAAATGAAGTGAAATAACTTCTTGTTAAAACCCATCTCTGGACCAAGGAAGCAAACAGGACTGATCTCAACCAGAAGAGATGCAACAAATGCCTACTGATGCCCAGGCATATTTTGTAGCCAAATACATGACCGTGTGTGGAACATTTAAACTCCATCAGGGGTCAGGAGATTGGAGATGTTTCTGAGTTGCTTCTGTTCCTGTTTGACAGCTTTGCTGGAGGACAAGACACAACACAGAGGCAGCAGGGTGAGCTGCAACACTGGCTGCAGGAACAAGTCTGGAGAGGGAGATACTAAATGAACAGGAGTCTTGGCCTTTCTTTACAACTTGCCTAGTGGTCTACCAGGATAAAAACCCTCAAATTAGTAAAAAAAAAATAAAAATAAAAAAAAAATCACATACAGCTCAGTGAAAGCAAGTGTAGCATTTTTAATGACTAAAGACTAGATAAAAACAATAGTTATGGCAGACATAAGGAAACACTTTCCTATGAGGGTGCCATAGCCTAGAGCAGGTTGTCCAGAGAGGCTGTGGAGTCTCCTTCTCTGGAGAGACTCCAAATCTACCTGGACGTGATCCTAGGGACCCTGCACTGGGTGACCCTGCTGGAGAGCAGGGGAGTTGGATGAGATGACCTCCAGAGGTCCCTCCCAACCCCTGCCCTGGTGGGAAGGAAGAGAAAAAGGAAGAGAGAGAGAGAAAAAGGAAGAGAGAGAAAGGGATGGGCAGGTTGTTTCCCTTCCATCTCCTGCCTTTCGGGCAGCCCTTTCCCTCTGATGTCTCTCTCTACCACGGCAACATCCACCACTGAATGCTGTTGGTACTCAACTTGTTAACATCACACTGTAACCCAACGAGACACAACCAGGTCCTGTCCAGCTGGTGCCTTGACCACAACTATCCCCATGAAGCCAACCACCGTGGCCCCCCTGCCAGAGCCAGGCACCCCCAGCTGTACAGCCTGCCTTGGCCAGGACCCTCTCCGTTAAGCAGAGAAATATCTGAGACTATTGAGATGAGTGGCTTCCTTTTCAGAGTCAAGAAATTATTTCATTTAAAAGCCATGCAAACAGACCCAAACAAAGTAGATTTTATTCTTTTCTTCACAACAGCACATTTTGAAATAGCAGATTTTAGAAGGTAGATTACCCTGAGAAAAAAAGATGCTAAGAAAGTTGTCACACCAAGCAGCTTAACAGCCACCCATGCACTACATATTTTATTTACATTCTGCATTGGAAGGAGCAAAACACTCCCTCATACCAAACTTGGAAGGTAAGTTAATTCTTAGTAAGTCAAATTACACATATCAACATGTAATTCCCCATCTTTCCTCCTCTCTCAGATTATTAGGGAACTGCCTGATAAATGTGCAGACAAGGTACTCTGGGATGTGGTTTAGTGGTCGTGGTCATGGTTCCGTTGAGCTGACAGTTGGACCTGATGCTTAGAGGTCTTTTCCAACCTTAATCATTCTCTGATTCTATGTATTTCCATGTTTGCCAAGATATTTTGCTGCCTTCACAGAGCAAGCAACGCTCAGGTCCAATTACAAACTGCTGTTAAGAAGAATGTGTACTAGAATCCAAAACTAAACCATGTTATAAACTTCCACTGTTTACAAAGTGCTCAGGTAACAGGCTCAGGTCAGAACTGTGCACAGATTTGTGCACGTCTGTGTGTTTAAGGAAGCATTTCTTCACCTTGAAGACATCTGTAAACTACAACCAATCTAAATACTCCTTTTCACTGCTCCAGCTAAAACGTAGGTGACACTCTGGCCATTAGTGGTGTAAGTGACAGTAAAAGACTCAGTCTCCAAAGGTCACATTCTGTTTGCAAGAAATCTGCTGAAACATGCCTTTAGAAATCCCCAGAGGAGACCTGCGCAGCTATGAAGGGCTTTTTCAAAACAGGACTCAAGAAAATGTGTGTCACAAGCACAAACAAGTTTGTTGCAGTATCATCCAGGCAAGGAAAATCTCCCACCTGACCTTAAATGCTGAAATAGGGTGAAATTAGAATGGGAAGAACAATGCTGGGTGTCCTGTTCCCTACAGCTTGTGCCACAGAAACCTTCCTCACAATTTGTGTGTTGTTTTCAGCATCTACTTAAAGACTACGACAGCAAATAATCACATCTGAATGCTTAAAATGGAAATGCTCTTACACAGCATTTATCCTAAGCCTTTGTTTTTCCTGGACTTTCTAAGGTACAAGAACATATCATTAAACCTCATTCTATAAACAATTTTTCTGCATAAAATAGTCCTCCCAAAGCCAAGACTGCATTTTATACTAATGTCCAGTTTATATTCTAGGCTGGCTCTTGAGCACTGGATCCATTTCTAAGAAGTTAATAAAAAAGTTACTGTTAAGCAAGAAAAACCAATTACCAAATGTTTGCATAAGAAATATTCTGAGCTTGGTCTTTGTGAGGCACACGAGGCAAAAATTTACCTACACCACATCACGTTCACCCCCAAACCTCCTAAGTCCTCATCTTTAGTGACTCCTCAGCTCTGTTTGCACCTTGCTGCCCTGAGCCACAGTCTGGATCCAGCCTCTCCCTCAGCAATGAACTGCAGCAGCGTTTCTTCAGTGCGCATCTTCCAGCCTCAGCTGCACCACAGAGCACCAGAACAACCCAACCTCCTAAGAACCAACATTTGTGTCTTTTCCAGGTAGAGGCTGGAAAGAGGTAGTAAATTAAATAGTCTAAATAAACATCCAAAAATCTCAGAGAAAAGCCACTGAATTTATTCAGATCTTTTAAGAATAGTTTTCCTTAACCGAATTAAGACATTTGAAATCTGGCTCCTCACTTTCACTTAGTGAAATATTTCTTCCAGGAACAATAACTCCTCGTGTTAGTTTTCATCTTGGCAGTTTTGCCATTCCCAATACAGCAATGTTTCAATTAGCTTTTCCCACTAATTTAGATGTTATTTTAAAGAGGTTCGGAGGGTGTTTTCAATAATATACTACAGAGGCTTTACTGTGACTCCATGAGTTCTGATTTCAGATGCAGTAGGGAAGGGGAGTTCTCCAGTGGCTTTCTGTGCCATGCTGTACTACCACACTCGGGCACAGCACGTGGAGGGAAGATCTGCACCATGTCTCATTTTTAGTCACTATGACAGTGCTGTGCACCACAGAAAACAGCTTCTCCTCCCTTAGTGACACCAAGCACAGGCAATACAGGTGCTGCTTCCTAGATTTGTTATACTTCAGGCAGTGACAGTCCAAATAGAACAACTATCAAGGTGTGAAGAATCATCAATATTGACTCACTACTGTAAGTTTAAGTATTCTGGAGGCCAGCACATTTTAAAAAGACTGCAGAGGACAAAACCTGGTGTTCCTTTGAAGCCTATGAATAAGTTCAGGCAGTAATGGTACTGTGATGGTAAGCTGAATTATCTCAACTCCAAAGTATGCAGCATATGGAATTTAAGGGACTTTCTTTTCCCCTCCTCCATCTTTTGGGGGTTACAACCTTCATTTCTGGAATTGATTTCCTATGACATTCACAGCAGTACTATACCCATTACACCCTTAGCACCACTGAATGCTGAAGACAAATTCCAGTAACTTTTTACATTTTTAAACACTGCACACCAAACATGTCAACACCATGCACCAAAACAACCCAAGGAAAACCAACTTCACACTATGAAATCAGGTAACCATCAAAGACAAGACTGTAAACAGCATGCATCTTCAGAACAGCTGAAGAACAGTGCAAGAATGGAGTGATGCTTTCCTTCAACACCATCCCTGATGGACTCCAACCACAGTTTAAAGACCTCCTTACCTGAAGGCACCAAGTGTGTACATAACAGTGCTCAATAAATTCCTCCTTCACAACTTTGACCCATCACTGTTTGAATCTATGCCAGCTTTTAGTGCCAAAAGTATCCTGTGGCAAGGAGGACCACAACAGTTCATCCATTTCATAACTCTGAGCCTCCTTGTTTCTTATCTGTACCATCTCCAATTCATATTTTTGAGCAGGAGGAGAGGGACTAGAACCACACACAATATCCATGATGAAAGGAGAGCACCACAAATTTATACACCCACACTAAGCTTTGTTCTCTTACTTTTCTAATAAGTTCTAATATCCGAGTTTTACAAGTGAGCAACGGGCTACTGTGATTTTTCAGAACAACTCATTATAACACCAAGATCCCTTCATTAGTAGGTATTTCAGGCAAATCTGAGTCAAGAATTCTTATCTCTTCCCATGCAGAAAATTTCATGTGTATCTACATTGAATTTCATCTACTATTTTAGAGGCCACTCATTCAAAATCATGTTGCCCTCCTACAACTCTTCACAGTTCAAGTTTTAAAACTCTATACAATAGAGGCACACACATTCATGTACATGCACAAAAACACATCCCTTTCCCTTACAAATTTTGCCATCTTGTTTCCTTATTCCCTTTTCCATATGGTTTAATGCTGCACTGAAGAGCAGACTGCACAGATCCCTAACTTCTTCCCCAGGCATCTCATGGCTACAACTCTTCACAGTTCAAGTTTTAAAACAACTCTACACAGAGGCAAACACATTCATGTACATGCACAAAAACACATCCCTTTCCCTTACAAATTTTGCCATCTTGTTTCCTTATTCCCTTTTCCATATGGTTTAATGCTGCACTGAAGAGCAGAC